ATGAACAATAAACATGTCGATGTACCTTCAAATAAAAGCAACAACATAATACATATTTCAAAGGATTTTTTTCGGGAGGGCCGAATTTGCGGTATTCTTCGATTTCTGCAAAATTTTCCCAAAGCTGACTGTCGGCCACATAAAGAGCTCTTTGAGCTGAAGTTAGGCGTCCAATGAGAATAATGCACGCTTGTTCGAAAGCTTCAAGGCCGTATTCGCTTCTTAAGGAGAATATAAACACTAAATAACGAGAATGTTTTAAACAACTCCTTTTGGCTTGTTCTTTTTTCGTTTCCGTTCGAAATGGGTAAGTTTAATTTTTATACTACTCACTATAGGAAAACAATGTACGGCAAAACTAGTAGCATATGCATGGATTTTCGAATTTAGCAATTCAATATTATTTTTTTCACGGTTTTCTTAAGCAAGGTTAAGATTAAGGGAAGATCGCTTAAATGGAGCTTTACTTACATGTTTATCACGCCATATCTGCTATGTTTTACATTATTATTTACTACTAAGTGTAACACTAATCTGCATTATAATTATAATGTCATGTAGAATCGTCTGAACAACGAAAAGTCAGAAACATTCTATATTCACAATGAAAAATTCTGCCCTTGCATGAAAAAATAATAACAAAGCTTTAAGATTTTTCCCCCCGGTCACAGGTTGTGAAACCTTCAGAAATTTACACATGGAGATTCAGAACTCAAGACAACTGTTTGACTGCGAACGAATGCAAAGATTTAAAAAAGATAAGACATCAGTGATGCAATGATCAGTGCCTCAGTGATTCTTGCAAGAGATTTACTATAAAATTAAATGGCTATTTAACGACTTTAAAATATATGCTTTACTATAAAAGTCGTTTATGTAGCCGCCAAAAATTTTCTTCGACAAAAAAAGAGGCACAAATTCAGAAAGTTTAAGAATCCTTCACCTGAAGTAATAATACGCAGTTTTTATCGTTCGAATTCGTTTAATAACATGTCTAGGTAATTGGTACTATCATTTTGCTTATGAATATTCATTTGATTTATTTCTCGTAAAATAAATATAAAATGGGCGCCTAGTTTACTAGTGAACGATTAAACATCCATGAGGATAGGAATTAGCAGCTAACCGCGTCCAGAACTCTGCAAACCTAAATCCTAAAAATCAGTTTTCTTGAAGTTGGCGAACTATCAGGCCCGGTGTAAATTCTGTCAGTCCTAAATTTTGCTGCCCCGTACCTTCATAAATTCTAAAAATTTTGCCTTCCTTAAATTTTTTATTAAAATCTTCCTTAAATTGCTGCTTATCTAAATACTAAAAATTTTGCCCCCCCCTGTGCAGTCGCACAGATTGCAACGGCTATGGCGCTGGCTCTCTGGTCTATACCTTTCAAATAAGCAGTTTTAAAATTACCCTTAATCATAAAATAGATGGTATTAAAATAAAACTGAATATGCTACAATAAAAATCTGTGAATCTAAGATTTTAGAGAATACTAACATTAATAACCTTCTGATGTTTTCTGCATAAAGTGGCTAGGATTTAAATAACACAGATAAATTTTACTCATGAGCTAATACTTTAAATATGAACCTTAATTTATTTTGTTGATGGTAAGTAAGTGGACGTGTACTGCTACACAAGGGGAAAAAGAGAAACAAAAGTCTACAATACATTCCTTTTAAGGAACTGACTTAACATCCTTCTAGAAAACCGTAAACGAAACTAGAAGATAGCTTCTAATTTTTTACCGCCCTAAATGGAAGGAAAAGGTAATCTGCATTATTTGCAAAGCTTCTTGAACCAATTTTCTTTTCCTTTGTATCTCTTCTTTTCGTTCCTTCGAAGGCTTCAAAAAACTAGCTGAACAAGTCTAAACCGTGCGGTGCATAATGATAAAATATTATCCATAACAGTGTTTGGCTAAGGTCTTAAATCACATTCTTTAATAAATAAAGAAAGAAAATTAAAAAGAAAAGAGCGAATAAAGAAACTAACACGTAGTTGACACGGAATCCGACAACAGTCAGCGAAGCAGTCAAGTACGACTTTCTAAAACTTTTGATGCTTTTTTCTCGTATTTTTAGTAAAATACCTAAAAGTTATTTCAACTATTTTTTTTACTTTCAAAATTTTCAACTATTTATATTTTCTAATACTATTAAATTCTTAAACAAGGATAACTCCACCTTCCCCACACACCGAAATTAGACACTCTAAGCTATTCAAGCCACTGTATCATTGTGTCTGCAACACACATGTCAAACTCGCGCCCCGCGGGCTGCATATGACCAGAAGTGGATGCAGCTATTTGGAAATTCGAAAAATTTCCAGAGGCACAGTCCATAGCGCCGCATCATCACTTAATGTGAATGACTTAAAAAGGGTGAAATATTAACCATAACTGTAGGATTTATGTAGCCAAAACAATACACTCATAGGAAGAAAATACTCAATGGAACCCATTAAAGAAATATCAATAAATTAATAAAAATAAACTTATGGTAAATATACTAAACCCATCATCTTAGGTCCGTCGGCACTAGCTCATCAGGTATTAATAAATTATGGATCTAATTATTTGCTCCATTGCACAGAATCAGGAAATTTCCTGTTCCAACACTTCGAAGATTTCATAACGATGCCTGTCATAAAGACGGCGGCACCTTTATACAAGTTGGTGGCTATTTGCCAAGATAAAGACGTTCACATGGGCGGCGCGAATTTCTGCGTCTTTATGTCGCGGCAGCCCTGCGTCTAGTGTAAAGGTGCCGATGTACGTTTTTTTAATCTGACCGCGCCGACAAGTCAGCCCCAACTGGCCCTGCATATGGTCCTTAGCTCATTCCCGACAAAATTAAAAATAAATAAATAAAAATTTTAAAAAATCTAAACGGTTTCAGATTTTAAATTACATCCAAAGGGGCGTTTTTTTAACGTTTTGTGTGTTACCTTTATTTACAAAATATCACGTTCTTTGCACTTACCATAAAATTCAGTTCAACAGCAATATAGCAAAATAAATTTAAAATGAGCATATCTTTAGAATTTCCGATACACAGTTCCGCGCGTTGGAGATAAAAAGGTCCCCCCCCCCGAAGATTGTTCCCATTGCTCGCTTTAAATCGTTGAGTTTGTTGATCAAAATTCGTTAAGGTTTTACAAAATGAAAACAGATAATAAAACAATTCCAAATTGGTCTCCGATGCCCAATTCGGGTGAAAAGTACGTTATGCAAAATTGGATGGCTTAGGTACCGTTGTTTTCAGAATGCGAGAAAACATACATTTATGATATTTCATTATTAATTTCTAAATAAAATACAGGACGATAATATTTGGTGGCAAAAATTTGAAAAGTGAATCGGACATTTATAGTGAACCAACGCAAAATGCCAAAGCGAAAAAAATAGTCCTTCACAGCAAATTGCCCCTTTGAACTAATAAATAAATTATAGCTATGATACATTAATAAAAATTGGAGCTCCAATGAACATCGAGTTGTATATATAACTTTGGACTCTCGAAATGATATCATTACAAAAGTATTTTCACAACCGATGTTGAAAAAAAGTACTATCCGATTTGCGTAGTCATCAGGTTAACTTCTGGACAGGAAACATGAGCATGAACATCGACCTTCGAATGAACATCGGACCTTCCGATTGCTAGCACCCACATAATGAAGGCATACGGTGAAGAATGGGAAAATTCCTTGCACATTTAAAGATGGAATTAAACAGAAATTCAATGAGACTCAGCTCTAAATGAAAAAATTCAGCAAAGTGGGTATTCAGTGAATTTTGCAAACACTTGCCAGCGCTGTAACTAGAAATCCGCAAATTTGCATTGTATTTGATTTCGATGTTGGCTATATTATGCAACAACCTAGTTAACTTTTCCCATGTATGAAAAGGACCAAGCTTCAGCGAGCTCCAGGTTAACAGACATTCATCTAACCTCTGCTCCGAAAATTTAAAATACCAGCAGCAGTCTTCAGACATCCGAGAGCTGGTTGCAGGAAAACGAAAATGATGCCAAGAGTCGGAAAAGAAACACAGGTATATATATCAACTACACGGATTCCATCTATCAATCCGCCAAAGAACTACAGTACCAGATAAGAATTTAGATATTTACCCATACTTTAATTACACCAACCATTACGTACGAAAATGACATGCTTTCCCATTACAACCCATATTACAGTGCACTGATGACTGTTCGACCCACTTGAGATATATAGCTAGACACGCCTGGTCTACACCTTCCAATTCCCTGCTGGTTTCAAGGCAACCATTCCCTTTTAGGTCTTTTTGGTTTTCCATTTATTTCATTTTCATTTTGGATTACAGTAGTGTGTGAAATCTCTTCCTAGGGGCTAAATTCTACAAAAGAATTACTTCAATTTATCACTTTGACCACATCAGAGAAGTCATACTTTTTTTGCAGAAAAAGGCATGTAAGCAAGCAAAAACAGTTTATTTATACTACGGTATACACGACTAACAAATAAAATTTATTAGCCCCAAAATAATAGCTTGAAGCACATGGATAACGTAAGTGAACTTTTACAGTGGCTCGACATCTGTCGGGCTCGCGTTACACCATGTCGCATCATTGTATATGTAAACAAGCTACCGACACACATTTTTAGTATGAGGAATATATTTTCCTCCTCTACTCTTGAACTTGTGGCAAAGTGTTAAAAATAACATGCGCGTAATATCAGCAGCCTCGGTCCGTCAAGTCACGTTTAAAACCAGGCAGTGTCTTAAGCAATTAAAAGCAGTTGCTTAATGAAAACTTTCAATCGGTATGAACATTTTATTAAAGCAGCTTCTTTTGCTAGCAAACTAAAGAAATCTCCACGAAAGTTGTTTTGGAACTAACAAAGAGCTAAAAAAGAATTAATTTTAGGGAAGTCATAAGTTGAGCTTTGTTCGCCATAGGTGGTGGGAGCTCTGTTCGCCATACGAGGAATGAATGAACTTTCTCACTTACTTTTTGTTCTTTGAGCTGCGCTTCTAGAATATCGAGTGTTTGGCCGACGGGTGGAAGACGTTCCAAACGAGACTGCAATCTAGATAGCCAGTTCTCTACTTCCCTCCTCCTCTCGTCGAAGCTGCGTCCGTCGGACAGCATCCCTTCCAGCTGACGCTTCCGTTGCATTGCCCCCTCCCGCACCTCCTCCCACTCGGAGTGAAGATGCAGAGCTGAAAGATGAAGAAAAACATGCTTCATACACTTATTTAAATAACGAGGCGTGAATGAAGCAGATCACTTTGCGAAGAACTGTTACAGAAATAAAAAAAGCACAGATAATAAAAGCGTTCGCTGTTGTAAGTAGGTAGTATGCGTTGGCGTGCCTTTTTGCAAACTTCTTTTGTATCACATAAAATCTGTCGGATACAGCAGCGCTTGGTGAAGTTGTCGCTTTAATTAATATCTCAGTTTATTCACTAACGCGCGCAAAGGCAAATATTTGTACACTGTGGTAGTAAGTGGGTAGTGTGGGGGCTGAAGGAGGATTTCTGATAACTTTCTTCTTTGCTGAGGCTGAAAATGATACTAAATAAAATAACAGAAGTAGTATACGTTTTTTTAGAAGAACATGAAATCGATACAAGTAAGGTCTTTTCCCGGAATAATTAAAATCGAAGTAAACAAACCTACTCGTGCTTGCTTTTAAATTTTAACGGCAAAATCATTAAAATACTCTTACAGCCTTTTTGATTCACTCTGTTGGACTAGTTCGCGTTTTCCTTCATAATTGCAGATTAATTTTTACGTAGATTTATTCTTAGAATGATGTACAATAAATGCACGATGACGATTCACAAGTCAAAGAAATATTACGGTAGGTGATTTTCTAAGGTAATCAACCTAACAAATTCAGCAACCTAGAGATGAATACCTTATTTAACATTAAGCAAAAATGCAACTTACGATTGATGCATTTCAAAGGGCATGATGTTTCTTCTCTCTCGTCGTAAACCCTATTTTTCAATAAAACCAGAGGAGATCAAAGGACTGGCTTTCACAAACCTAAAATTTGAAACTATTCCATTTGTTTATAATTAGTTTCCAAATCAGTAAAAAAGGGTTTATAAGACTTTTCGCCCAAATGATGTTTCGTCTTATTTTTTTCCATCACTTGCAGGGGAGAGCCTTTTTCCCAGTCCCCCCTGTCCGCCTAATCTCAACCTCACGTGGCAGATGAGGAACTATATATATTACTTAATTTTCATTCGGTTATCATTAAAAATGATTTAGTAAATTTAAGAAAATTTTCTTATACATTTATCTCTCTCTAAAGTGTGTTTCAGAAAGTTTGCACTATATCAAGAATTTATTGTTAGGTATTGCGCAAATGATTACTCTGCATTATGGTACGTAATATATGACATTAGAAACATCTTTTATGAATTAAAATTATTTGCATTACCACAAAATGACCCAAGTATTTTAGATGAAAAATATTATAAATGAAGAGCCATTTTATTTCTGAGTTTAACTATTTTCCTTTGCAGAAATATCTAAAATTTGTCACTTCTCAAATGATGGAGGGCCAGAACTAATAATCACATTTGATGAGTGGCATTCCAAGTTGAATAAAAAGCTAGCGGTCCAATTTTAAACCTATATTCATTGATTCAACTTTTACAGCAAGATGCAGCAGGTCATGCGGTTTCTAAGTTGCTTCAATAAAACATGGAGATTCCACACAAAATACAAAGAATTCAATTAAAAAAAAAAATTAAGAAAAATTATTACGCAACGAAATTTTATTGGAAAATTATTTCGATACTGTGTGCTACTGCATTCATTTAGAAGCCATTATTATTTTGTAAATTTCATGTCAGATCTTCGCATATACATTTTTTTTTAAATTTACTTGATTTTATGTAGCGTATTATAGCTGAAAAAATTAACCAAATTATTTTAATACTTTGGATATAACAATTTTAATCTTAATTTAGATGTGTATTTATTTACATACGTTTATTTACACAGTATACACAATTTTAGATTATAAGCAATAATAAAAACGCTAGTTAATTCCTTAAGATAACAGTTAAAGAAGTATTTTAGCATTATCAGTTTCACAAATTAGACTTCCAGATATACAAAATAATGCTTACTTTCATGCAATAATAATACATTATATTTTGCTCGCATTATTTCTCTTTTAAATGTCAAACGAGATTAACGAAGAGAAACATTTCGGGAATGGGTATTTTAAATTTAATAAATGGGTAAAAAATTGGGGGCTTGAACTGTATGATTAATAAAATGTGACTTTTTTTAATATCTCATTTTAGTAGCTTATTTGGGGGGGGGATCTTTTTACTAAACGAATACTACGATTTTGTTTAAAACTCTTGATAATGAATTACGATGCTAAGAATTTCTTTTCACTTGACTGAGTTTAGAGCAATAATATTAAAAAATCCTTATTTTAGAAAAATGTATATACATTTATGTTAAGCTATTTCTTTATGAAAGACTAGCTTGTTAGAATTTTCCCCACTATGACAACCCTCCTGCCACACTAATAGTTTTCGCGTGTCAGCAATTACACAAAATCCAATCTTCTTCCAACCTAAATCAAAAATATGATACTTTGATTAAAATTCAGTTTAAAATTAAATACCGAATTCAATCCGCATTAGCCTTCTCAATTATTATGACATAATATTTTTTGCAAATTCTACAGGAAATTTTTGGCTCTTCAGGTTATGTTAAATAGTAATATCTAAACAAGAAGCGTCAAATTTTCAATCATGAACTACCAGGAAGTCACTAGAGGGCTTTTAATAGCTCATGTAAAAGTACTTCAGTTTTAAGTTAATATAAATTAATATAATAAAGTCATATCATAATTCGCGAGTCACATGAAAGCTGTGACAATAAACTGCTTTAAAACTGACACTATTCAGCTGCATTCGGAATTCTCCAGAACTGAACTGGAAAATATTCATTTAGCTGTATCATGGGAAATTCAACAGAATCAAAAGTGGCTCGTCTCTAAGAATACCGCTCAAATTGCGGAAATTTGAATTTCTGCCTCAATAGAAAATTACGTCTTTGACATTTTTCAGAGAATGTGTAAATTTTTAACAAATGAGTTAAACAAGCATCGCATAATCCTAAATTCTTCCGTGCAGTTGTTCAAATGCTTTAAATAGGTTCGTAGTTATTAAATAAATTAAAATTTTAGAATATTGCACGTGTATTAAATTTAGTAATTATCATATAAATACATAATGGCACTATATAAAATACTGTTATTTACATTGCATTGTTATGTAGAATATTTTATGCGGCCGAGAATACTGTTATGAATTTTGTATATAAAATAATTTTAGTGAAAATCTAAGTGAAATAGTAGTATTTTCTAAGTGAAATAGTAGTATTACATTACTTATAATGTAACATGAATAGCCTGAAGAAAGCGAAGCTCTGCTGGAAAAATACGATTACAGGGGCAAACCTATTTAACTTTAAGGGTAACTGGTTGTCTCACCAAATTGGCAAGATATCACCAATTTGGCGATGGTTTTGGTCACAGATTTTGGTCACCAAACTTCGCGACAATTTGATGACATTTCAGTAGGGTCCCTTTATAACTGTAATTGATATTGTAATTGAATAACTGTAATTGATCTCTATATGTAATTGTAGCAGCATCCGAACCTTTTATTAACTTTAACCGTATATGCCTTTCAGTAATTTTGATAAATAGAACATAGTAACGATTTCTTGGCGCCCCTCCTTTATTTAATTAACGGCCGGGGAAAAACTAAACACGAAGAGAAATCAGTTCTCAGTTTTCAAATCAGAGCTCATTTCAGTGTACTGAGAGGTGTTCATGCGAATTTCGCTCTTTACATGAACTCTGCTTTGCGTTCTCTTTAACGTTCTTAGTAGTTTAAAGTGGTAACTACTGGTTGTTATCCGTCATACTGAGAAGAGCTGTACGAGTACTTTTTGTGGAAAGTTCTAGAATTGTAAAGCGTTTCTTTTGTGAAAATAAATTTTATCTAGTTATCGTCGATTCTGTGTGCACTCAATTTATCACGATCCTACACGCAAGGTTATCTTAACCAGCAGAAAATCGAGAACAATCTCGGCTTTTGGATAAACGAGGAAGAAGTGAGTGTTATCGGAAGGATAGCTGCTCTGCTGGGGGGGGGATAAAAATAATATGGGCGAAAGAGATCGGATGAGGAGAGAGAATCATTAAAGGCAGGTCTAACTGTTACCCGTCGATAGGGGAAAGGAATTTTTGGAAGAAATCGCATCACAGAGGGTGACTTCAATTTTCCATTTGGTATAAACTTGCTTCTAAAATTTTGAGTACTCACTGTCCATATCTTACGAGGCCCACATAACATAACAGTAAAAAAACAAACGCAAACGTATAGAAAAATATTTAGCTGTGTGTCTTAAGTGCCCAACATAATGAACTCATTAAGCAAGAGTTCATTTTGCTGCTGAAGTTCCTTCACCCAATGTCTACATCGATTCATTTCTCTTTTTGCCACTAGGGGCACAGCCACCCTTCGTCGTTAGGATAAAGCTATTCAAAGATTTCTGCTTCCATCGATCATCGGGAGTTTTTAGTCAAAAAAAGCCACATGTTGGTTGAACCCATTTGGAGATGGCCGCATCTCTGGAAAGCCCATTTATTTTAAGTGACAAAAACGCTTTGGAAGCTTTCCAAATCGCCCTTTGAATTCCGAAAACAAACTCTCCCGACTCATAAATGGGAAGAAAAAGGGGCTCGAAATTTATGCCGTTTTCTTTGCGAATGTCCTTATGCGATGTTACAGAAGCTATTCCACATATTTAGAACAATGTTATGCGGGAGCTTTGTAGCTTTGTTCTGGGAATGGCCGCTATCACAACTCGATTTATTCCGCAATTCTTCTTTTGTCCTTTCGGTATTTTCCATTTGTTTTCTTTTGAATGAATAGAAGCGAGATTGTTTCATAACAACGGAATTCAGACGGCATAATAACTAAATTTTTAAAAAAAATCTGGAATGAAAATATAACTTTTTTCGAACTGTAATTATTTTAGTCATTCGTTTAAGTTCTAAAAGATATCTCCAAACATTATACATACACACACATTAACAACTTATAAAGTAATTAAGGGAAAATATATTTAAAAAAACAATTTTTTAATGAAATGAATTTCTGTCTGA